TTTTTTTTTTTTTTTTTTTTTTTTTTGGATACTCATTGTCTTTTCTTCATTGGATTACAGAAGTATAAAAGAGGGTTGCTTCTACTTGGGCAGAGTATTTATGTTGTTTGCAATGTATCAGCTCGATCATTATCGTGATTCCCTTTGTACCATTATTTTTCTTTCTTTTCGTTTTGTCAATGCTCTCAATTAGTCGTTCGAAAATCATTTGGTCAAAATTACTGTCATCCTTAAGTATCGCAAAACGTATTACTATCTTTAAGTCGAATCACATAGTATTATCAGTTAATCGGCCGATTTCGGTGCTACTGCAAGAATAAGTAACGGAGTAACCTTGACATTCTTAAGGATGAATCACAATTAGGTACGATATATATGGTATAAGTTAGAATCTTGTAAGAAATTCACCAATCGTCAGGTGGAATTAATTGTTCAATGTATTAATTAAAATCCTCGTTTAAATTGAAGCATTTATTTTCGTATTGTCTACCGACAATAAACACCGGTACTAAATTAATTTTGCGACGTACTAAAAGATAATTTTTATACAATATTAATAATTGACGTCTCCTCAACATTCGTACCTGGATCCTCCATTTCCTCATAACGATCTACTCCAATCAATGCAGTAAGAAACTCCAAACCAACACGATTGATCCCAAGTAAGAGTCTCTTAATCCATCAAGTTTTTTCTCCACTGTCTACTAACCGCCATCTTGGAAAATATGAAATTAAAAAAAAAAAGTCGAATTCTCAATCGCATCGTTAGCTCTTCTTGTACGCAAAATACACGAGTTTACGATGTTCAATGCCTTTTCTAGGATCACGACGAGACACTTTGGACGGTAGCGAGGATCGCGTACGAAATCTCCCACCCAGAGGTGGTCATCAAGGTCAAGGAGGACCCGGAAATTCAGGTTACATGGGCGGAAGGCAAGGTCGACCACCGGTGCAACGTAGAGATCGCAGAGACGACCGTCGCCGAACGACCGACGACGAAGACACAGTTCTCGACAGTCAAGACGTCTCGAGCATTGACAGAGGTAATGACACGATCGATCAACGAATCAAATTGTCAATTCGAGGATCCACAGTTAAGGATCCTCAGGCGTAGAAATTGTCGTAGTATCGGAGGTTTGCTTTGCGAGTGGCATGGGTTATGAGGCAAACACTTGTGACCATCTAACACCATATATTCGTTACATTTTTGATAACTCAGTGCACGCTACTAACTCACGAGCTATCAGTCTAATTGCCTTTTGCTAAGCATAATTTTGGACTTTATTCCTTCGTTATCCCGATCCTCGCGCAAATCCATATCGTGGACGCTTAGCAAATTATTGCAATGAAATCGAACACGGATGGTCACAATGGTTTGTGTGTGCGTAGAATCGGTATCAAGCGTGGAGGGAGGACCTAGAGGAATAAGACGAAGAGGACATCGACGTTCTCGTCAGCGCAGTACGACACCAGCCAACAGCCAAAAAGGTAACTTTATTATACAGACTGATTTGATGTCTTAGAATTGTCAGTTTCTCCTCTTCTTTTTTCCTGTCTTTTCGTGCAATGACAGTTGTGCTTCAGCATGTCTAAGTGTTAGTGACTAAGTTGGTAATATGAGATTAAAATCTACTTTAAGAATTCGCTACTATTTATCAAGTCTTATATTTATATGAGAGTGGACAAGTAACTGTAATCGTTTTTCCACGAAGAATTTTTAACTTTTTTTGAAGTAAAAAAAACGTCTTGAAGCATATCAATTTCAATATCTTCGATGCGATTAATTATAATAAACATTATTAACGAGGCTGTGTTTCAAGAAGATTTGAAATGGTTGCAAAGATGCTTTTGATTAACGAGAGTTTCAAACATAATAGTCGATTATTAACGAGTCCTCCGTACTCAGAGTTAATTTTTGACTTTGTTTAGGTAGCAATGCAGGACCGAGTGATCAATCAACAATAACCAGCAAGGAAGGAACACCATCGAATGACGTGATCATATCCAACAGTAGCTCTCAAGGACCCAAGGGCCAAAGAGAACCTAGATCTCGCCACTCTCGTATATCTCAGAGCAATAAGCCCAAGGAGGCTCTGGTTAACGGTACCAGTGGCTAAGCATTCCGTAACGTGGAAAGGCCGCCACCGTCGTAATATATTACACCCGATGAGAGCTAATAACATCAGCACGTAACATGACGCATACCCACGCAAGGACTACACGATTATGGATCGCGACATGATTAGTCTATGCTCGTTGTTAAGACTGTTTGCTACCAATAAGAATATGACAGTTGTTTAAGAAATCATCATTCTCCTTAAAAGAAAGAAATGAGAAAAAAGAGCGGGGGGGGGAGAGAGAGAGAGAGAGAGAGAGAACATTTAAGGACACATATTAATATCCATGCATGGTTTAGTTTAATGATACGCGGTTACGCTATCATGTTTGATATATGGACACATTCATTGGGAGGTAGTAGCGGCACAATTCGGCATGAGAAGACAAACCTCTCCACCCTGATTGTGAAACTGTGCCTCATTTTTATACCGACCTCCTAACTTTATCTGACAGTGCTTTTGGTGTACTTTAATAGTGCCCTTCTCACTCCTCCAGACACTCGTTAATATGTTTAACGAACCAACGATAGGCTGGTTATTCGCGGCTCGTACGTCAATTACCGATTCGAATAAATTTCACTCTAGAAATGTCATTGGACGGATAGTACAAGACTAACCGTCTCCTCAGGCCGTTAACCGCCATCTTTACGGCAGATGCTCTAATGGATAGTACGTCTATTACTTAATTAGATACGTGCTCATATTTTGTTAGGGAGGCTGCAATTTAACACTGACGAGACTTCGAGTTGGCCTTTGTGCCCGGGACAAGGCAAGATAAAATGGCGAGACGTAACCGATTGGCCAGTTCGAGGCCAGTTGCAATCCGATGTAGGACGTTGTTACGAATTTTCTATGTTGCTTGACTCGCGTTGAGACGCGTTTTTTTTTTCTTCTTTCTTTCTTCTCAAAATATAACGATTAGGAACCCACTGACGCAGGATCGATTTGAAGGCGGGAAAGAGAAAGAACAGAAAAATGTAAAACGCTTCTTCCGAGCGCTTCCAACGTAAACGTGTCCGTTTTACGCCATTGCTAGAATGAAATTTACTGCGATAGAGCAAGACACCAAAACGAAAAGAAAAGAAAAGAGAAGAGTTGTAATGATTTTTCGTTGTTAATTTTGACAATGACAGGCGGCAGCTGTATAAAATCCTGGTTCAACGGTATTCCCAATGATGTTCCTTCTATTTACTTCGCAAGATTGAGTTGTTTTTGGTTTACAATTATTAATAGAGTTACTTAACAATACTAGATTTTTATGTTTCAATGCTGTGCTAATTAATCATGCCTTGATCAACGCTAAAATGGCTTTTTTGATTACAAGAGAGACACAGACAGGTGTGCACAAGGGGTTGGTTTCGTTTCCCGGTACACTTCTTACATAATTTACCATTTCTTTTTTCTTCCCTTTTTTCCTTTTTTCCTTTTGTACTACCGTGTAAGCATAACTATATCGAATTATAGAATTTGGTATAGAGTTCGTTTCTCTCCATTGTTTCAACATGATTTAAAACGAAAGTAAAGATATACTTAGTAATACCAATGTATGATGTGCCAGAGAAGGAATGATACATGTTTTATGATATCTAGCTGAAGTGCAAACTTAGCGCATACCTTTATTACTATAATACTACTTAGTCAAAATGTGGATGTCTGAACAAATAAACTAGCTTTACTATACTAAGCTATAAAATAGATATGGTCAGCCGTTTTAAATTGAGCGTCAATTTAAAACAGTTGTCTCTCTTCTTCCGGATATGACAACAACTAATCGGACGTGTCTCATGGATTTTGCAAAACTCACGACGGTTGATGCAACTTATTGACACTTAACAAAATAGCTGCCATAATATCTGAATATCATTATGGTAGCAGAAAAAAAGAAACTGAGATATCCCCCAACTTGCTTGTTTCAGATACATTTGTATTGATTGCAATTTGTGCATAATTTAAGAATAAAACATTTCTGTACATAGACTGGCCAACATCTTGATTCCTCTTTACTGTTATATATTATAGGCGTATAATATTACAATGTACAAATAATTAATCCATTATTGAAAAAGGAAAAAAAAAGTGGTAACAAGTTATACCATTACTTTAGTCTATTCCGTGGGATTAATCTGGCGTAATACAATTATAAGAACATTTATTGTAATATTATAGAGCTAAGTAAATTAAAGTTGAGTTTCGTACTTTTTTTTGCACCATACAGGAAATAGTTTGAATGATAATTTGTCGTGCATTTTGTTTAAATTGGGGATAGAAGGAATTTCTTTTACGGTCACGAATTATTTATCATGCAGTAAGTCGAGGACTTGGCGTACCACTGACAGCCATTGGGACTCGAGCCAAGGAAAAAGCCAGCAGCAAGGCCCAATCGCAGGCCAGAGTTCAGTCCAGTTTCTTTCGCGAGACGGACAAGCCACGTCTATTGCGTATCTGCCCAAACTGTTCGTTGTTCACTCTGATTGCCCTGTACTTGCTATTGTGAAATTAGCTTTGATTCATTACACGTACAGGCACGTATAGGGCTACAGTGAGGCTCTGTTTGCCAATACTTCTATAACCTGTTGTGACGGACGTGGTGTGCATTAAACGAAAAACTACTTGCAGCTCGTGAAAGTGACCAATTACGTAAAATTTTCTGGTGATTTCCATCCTATCTGATGACAACGTGGATTTTGAACGTCAATTCGTCATCCTCTATCAAGTGCAACAAGTGAAATACGCGATTAACAGTAAGGAAGTGGCGTTTATCGAAGATCATTTCGTTTAGCAGGTAACTTTTAGTACTACCATATATATTCGTATCAATCTTTAGGATAATTTCGCAATGGTGCACTGAGTGACCAGTGAAATTATTATATCCTGTGTCGAATTTCCGGCAATTTGCCATAGCAATTCGTAATGGTTAATATCGACGTTTTATAATTATGAAACATTTGGGGTTGGTGTTGCTAGATGCTGACTATGATAGACTAAATTTTGTGATTAATCTCATTTACTCTTGTAAGAATAGATACGATAAAAATGATGGCTCTGCTTTGATAGATATTCTTTTTAGTTTATGTATTTTTTAATATAAAGTTGCCTGCGAAGAACATTCAATTACATTGCATTAAATTGTAGTGAGCTTATCGTGTGTTTTTGGTTTAGCTATATGATCATTATGAAAAAAAGAAGTAGAACTGGTATTTCAGGTTTTAGTTTGCTGGGAAAAATCCAGTAAAATATAGTTAAATATTGTTTACTGGATAAGAGTTTGATTATAGCATAAATTACATGATGTGAAAAATTAGCTTGTGCAATTCAGCAAATGGTGGTACATGGAAAATATATTTTCTGAAAAGAGATGAATCACTTGTTACTGAATAATGCAGATGTCATCATACATGTCAGTGAATAATAGGTTCGCATAGTGGATAACATATTATTTTACTATTACATTGTGTGTCTTATATATATTTCTAGGAACAGTTTATCAATTCATATGTCTCTGCACGTCAGAGACACTGTACAGTAAAGTAAAATTCTGGAAAATCCCAATCTATTTTTAGGTAGACATTGCCAAGAGAAAGATATTACTCATAGGCATTATACTCATAGATATTCGAGTCATGCGATGCTTAAAATATGAGTGCAATGACTGTTATTGAATAATATTTTTAAAATTCAAACTTAAGGAATTAATTGAATAAACAAAGTAGATTCATAGGAATTCAGAGAAACTTTTGTAGTCATACAAAAACATAACGACTACAAGACTTGTACACTTTAAGTGATCTGAATAGCGTGATAAGAAATAGTATCTCGTTCTATAGTATGTGTCATAACGTTAAAGATCTGTAGATCTGGGATTTCTCACGTCACGGCATCGGGCAAAAGCGTTCAGCGAACCTAAGTTCCGCTGAACTTAGACTACTCAGCGATGATAAAATCGAACGAATTTTCGATTAGTCCCTTACTGGCACATGTCCCGCATTGGGGATACAGCCATAAGGAAAGGAAGGAAGGAATTAGTCCCTTAGCATTCTATTGGGAGTCTTGCGACTACTTTCCTTTTTCATCCTTTCATAAGTTACCGAAGAAAGCTAGATGGAATACGTAGAGTACTTTTCCCGAGAAGTCAATTTGCTGATTCCACGATGCGCCATCTCGTTTTACTTGGGGAGCCTTTCACTTAAAATTTTAACGAGGAATTAAGTGCTTCATGCCGCTTTTACCAAATAGTTTTGACAGAACTGTTACTTTGACGTACCATTCCGTCCTCGTGTATTTCATAATTTCTTTGCTTACCCTATTACAGGATATTTTTAACCTAGACCATATGTGCTCGAGGTGGCGTTGCACTTGGTATACATCATTGTAGTTTCCAATCTAAACCTACTCCGGTTTATTCTACCATTTTTTTTTCAAAGTAGTCAGCTGTTGTGTCAATCGGATACCCTTAACCAACAAAGCTTGCGAAAACTTAAGTTTTAGTAGAGTTGTGCGTAGTATCTTTATATATATGGTTATTATTAGGTTTTGTACAAATTGGGTAATATAGTTGCCCAGTTGATTGCCATGAGTTTCTTGGCTTCTTTATGGCACATGGGAAATTAGATGGGGATTTTTTCTGTTTGTTACAAGTCATTCAATCAAAGTTTGTGATCCTTTACTGTAGATGTATATGACATTGATTTTTTATGCAAAGAAAATATCTTAACTACTGAGTGAGTTTAGAACCTAATTAAAAGTTTTATGGATCACTGAAATTGTTTGCAAAATATATACTTTTGGATACGTTAATTCAAATTTTAAGAAAATAAATATGTTTATCACATTGGAAAAGTTTATATGTTATTTATATTTTTGTTATAATTGTAGCTTTAGTTATTCTCAGAATTTGGGTAGACTAATCTAATCTCAAAATTATTGCCTGTTCAGATAAGCATAAATACTTCTTGCAAGTATGAGACAATTTTTTATCTATTACCGCAAAACAGATTTTATTGATAATTTATAAGATATCCTAACTTGAGAAAGAAACGGATATCAATTATATATTTATGAATGCTTAAATAAGATCTTATGTAAAGCTTGTTAGAACTAAGTACTGTTTTTTTTTTATATATGTGAGATTATGCATTTTATGAGTTAAACCTAATATAAATGATATATTTGAACTTCAGACACTTTCTTAAAATAATTAATCTGAAATTACAATCAATTAAAAATGCACAGGTCTTTAAAATATTATATACCGTATGCTATTTTAAACTTAAACATGCAGTGTAAAAATTATTTTCATAAAAAAGGGATGTTACATAAAATAAGCATTTTCTTATAGATTGTGCAGTTCTTAAAATGTGCAATAAACATTTTTCTTGCAGGTTGTGCAGTCTTTAAAATATTCAAGTACCCTGGAGAGTATGGCATTGTAGCATTACACAGATTCATAGAATGCGCAAAGAAACCGATGCTGGAGTGGGTGGTTGCAATGGAGTGCAAACTAGGCCTCGTAGACTTTTACCAAGGTTTTCTTTGCGGAGACTCTTGTATTCCAGTCCCCTTATTGGACGTCGTATTACTAGGACACCTAGTGCCAGTAATAGAAATAAAGGTACCTTACATATAATACTTTATAAATTTACCTTATAAACACAGTTTTATTAAATATACCATACATCGATAGCTGTTGAAATAATAATAAATCGTTTTCAGCTAAGGATGCAACAAGCACCAGGGTGACAGATGTAGAAAAAGGTGAAGCCAGAGTAAGTAATGGCTCTAGTCATTTTCAATTTCACAACCTAGATCTACAGCGTACTTCCAGCAAAGGCTCTGTACTACCTACTGCCGGAAAGGTACTTATAAAACTATTTGCGTGTGCTCAGTAATACTCATACCCATATGCCGCTGCTTCTTGGTGAATTTTTTCCTTATTCCAAAACAAGAATGTTACTCTTAGAAAATACCGATACTTATTCTTATCATTTCAGAGCAACGAACATGGCTTAATGGAATGTCCATTATGCTTGGCTGAACTCCCATCCGAATTATTTCCAATTGTACAGTCCTGCCATCATCGCAGCTGTTACGACTGTTTCCAGCAATATCTGAAGGTCGAAATATCCGAATCCAGAGTTAATATAGCCTGTCCTGAGTGTTCGGAACCCCTTCACCCTAATGGTAATTAATTCATAACAAACCCTTACTCGTTTAGAACTTGCAATCGTATATATAAATGATTGAAACGTATTATTTTTACAGACATCCGAATGATCTTAAACGACCAAGTACAGCTGGAAAAATATGAAGATTTTATGGTACGCAGAGTACTGGCTGTGGAACCAGATGCCAGATGGTGCCCTGCACCAGATTGTAGCTTCGCCGTTATCGCCAGTGGTTGCGCATCGTGTCCTAAGTTGCGTTGCGAACGACCAGGTTGCGATTCATATTTTTGCTATCACTGCAAAGCACGATGGCATCCAAATCAAACGTGCGACGCAGCACGAGCTCAACGTTCCCAATACTATGAGCGAAGTTCGTCCCTGAGCTTTAGTCAGAGCGATTCGCAACACAGTATGTATATCATGTAATTGAATTAGAATTGCTTTAATCATCGAGTCATTCAGCGGATACTTGCATGATTTATTTGTCACAAATACATGAAGCGTTCATTCTTTGTTCTAGGAGACGACATCAAACCCTGCCCGCGATGTCAGGTTTTGATTGTGAAAATGGATGATGGCAGCTGCAATCACATGACTTGTGCTGTCTGCGGAGCAGAATTTTGTTGGCTTTGCATGAAGGAAATCAGTGACCTACATTATCTAAGGTATTTTACAATAAATATAATACATAATTATTCACCGTGTAATCAATTAATCCTTCTTTTTTAGTCCTTCCGGCTGTACTTTCTGGGGAAAGAAACCGTGGTCGAGGAAAAAGAAGATTCTTTGGCAACTCGGTACTCTCGTAGGAGCTCCGGTTGGGATTGGCCTTGTAGCTGGTATTGCAGTTCCTGCTATGATAATAGGTAACTCAATATACCATCTGAAATGATATCATACATACCTCAGTTTATTGTTTCCATTTCGGTTTTATCGCATTCATACGCGTACAGTCTGTTATCATTTCGACTACTGTGTTATTAAAATGTGCTGCTTGTGAGACAGCCCGGAAGAGAAAATTCACGAGAAACTTTATTATCGTGCAAATTGTAACAACCTCAACCGTATGTATGTTCAGGTATACCAGTATGGGTCGGGAGGAAGATATACACAAGATACGAGAAGGCGAACAAGCACAAAAGGAATGCTTTCATCGCCGGTGGCGTTACTGCATCGGTAAGTTTTGAAACAGTTAGAAAACCATTATTTGTCTTTCCCAAATTTATACCGTGCTGATACGATTATTGAAATTATGCACGGTACAAAGAAAACTCCGTCATTCGCAAACAATATAATCTACGTTGATAATACGCCACTGAATACACTTGTCCCGTGAAAAAAAGTCATGGCACAAACTTACTAACCTCAATAGCATAGGGCAGTTATCAGATCCTTATTAGATGAATTAACTTGAATAACATTACTTCGTATAATGACCCTTAATTGTCCCGTAAATGAAATATTGTTCGAGTACGCTTTTAAGAATTTTAAAGAGACACCTCGGCACTGGTAAAATAAATAAGAGACACGTGTTCTTCAAAATTGACGATACATCGTAGTAAAGATAATATTTTATTTGAACAGGTCGAATCATTTGTACAAAGAAAAGGATGATACGAATAATGCGTGTGAGGATTAACATTAATTAGAAGCAAATGACATTATACCAATGAATAACGAGTATGGGAACTTAGATAAAACGAAGGGATCCGCACAGATAGGATAGTACATGATCTCACGCGTCGCTTCCGTTTCCAATCTTCCTTCAGTGTGATGCAAATTCAATTTGAAAAAAAAAAAAAAGAATCGTCGACTTCGAATGCCCGAGAAACGATTCCTCGGCCACTTAGATTACTATTAATGGCAATGGCGATTGCCCGTAATTCACGGATATTTAATATAAATAAAAATCCTTCGAGTCGCTCTGCTCGCAGAAAGCTTTTACGTGCGCGCGTTAAAAGCACGCTTAAAGCCACTAGATTCTCGTTCAGCATGCATATTTACTTTGGACACATTCGTAGCTTCAAAGATGAGACGAGTTACGAGCATTTTTCAGTAATCGTTTCTAATTTGCGTCATCATTCGTTTCACTGTTGCTTCCTCTTTTTCTTTTCTTCTTCCTCCTGCTGCTCACTTCCTCTTTCTTCTATGCATTTTTCCATTCGATTGCTCGTACGCTTGCCAACTCGCCTGTTTTGCGCTCGCGTGTAACCAACGATATCGCCGTGATATAAATATTAATTTGAGAAAGTCAAAATATTACGGGCCTGTCGCCTTAACGTCTGCCGTCTCGCCGCTGAGGATACCGTCATTGTGAAGATCTTCGAGGACGTCGATGAGACGCTGCTCAGTCAGCGGATCACCCAGCGCAACGTCCACGGATCCTATGCATAGTAACAGTGCAAGTAATTGAGAGCGCCTGTAATCCCTGTTGAGGTCGTCCCTAGTGTAGTTGAGGTCCTTAGGGATATCGAGACCAAGACTGGTGCAGGTGGCAGTCAGGGCGTCCCAATATTTGTCCAGGAGGGACTGGGTGTGTCTTCGGCGTAGCTCGGTGGGCGCTGAACTGACGAGGAGCAGAGCGATGTCGTTGGTGGGACGACTGTAGGTAACCATTTGCCAGTCGAGGATGGCGCACTTGCAGGTACCGTCTTCGGCGTCCTTGAAGAGAAGATTGTTGCACCAGAAGTCGGTGTGAGTGATCAGCGCGAGGGGATCCTCCGGTGCGAGAAGAGCGGCGATTATCTCCTTGGTGCGTGGGCGCAGAGCGAGGAGCGCTTCCAGGACGGCTTCGAGTCCTGGTCTTCTCTCCAGGAATCTAGCCAGCTGGGGCAAGCCACGCTCTACCAGTTGCTGGTACGAATCCGTCGCCCTGGCCGTTTGGAAGAGGAACGGATAACGCTCCGACAGCGGACGACCTTCCTTGGTCTTGAGAGCCAGTGACAATCCATGAAGGCAAGCCACGGCGCTCAGGGCAGCTTCCGCCTGTCTCAGGGTCAAGCCACGCGAAAATTCAGCCCCTTCGAAGCCCCTTGGACGAAGATTCTCCAGGACCAGGAAGGACTCTGGTGGCTCGGGACTGTCTTCGGTGCCACCCGCTGGACTGTAGTGAGCGTGCACGCATGCAGGAATTGGCAGCTCGATTCCACTGTCCGGTGATGATAATTGCCGCTTCTGGAACGCCTCCAGGTCGGGAACGACCTGCGGAATGACAAAGGACCAGACAAATGTCAGAGGATGTTTCTGGGTATCTTAATGCAATAATTCCTTAATATTGATTGTCCACATTCGAGATCGGATGCTCGGTGCTATTTACCTGGGTGTAGAATTTTATTTCACGTAGATCGAATTGAGCCTCGGTGACGAAGAACCGACTGAATGGATCCTGGGGCAGGAGCTTGACGATGACGCTCAATTCGTTCCGTGCGTCATCCGGTTTTGTTCTGTAATCAACGTTGACTGCAAGGATGTCGCTGAGGACGCTCTCACCAGCTGTGCAACCGGGCCGCACGGTGAAGTCGTCAACGGTAACCTGAGATCCTTCCCCGTGATGCACAGTCAACAAGCTCTCCAACCACTCCTTGGTGACAGGCCACTCGCCGCACGAGCCATCCGTATCCTCGCTGTCAGACATGTCTTCCTCGGAGCTTCGATGTCTCAGTTATTATCAGATCACCGCCGGCCGATTCACAGAGACCCGATTCACCCGGATCACAGAGACCTTGTCGTCAATATTTTCGCATAATAATGCGAACCGCTGTCCTTCCTCCAATGGGTGCGACCACTGCTGGAAACCGAGGACACTCCTCCTCCACAGGAAACGTACCCACGAGTATGAAGTGACACCCAGTTTAATTAGCACTTGAGAGATTCACTCAAGTCCTCCTAATCAATTGCACCTTGAATTCTAATATTCCTTTTCTCTCTTGCATTCGCAGCTTCCGCTTCCCGTTACGCCGCCCTTTAAGAGAGCATGCTTATACCGGCTCACGTCAAATCTTTACGGATCCTGCTCCAGCATCAGGAAGTGCAACGAACACTGCACCATCCAGTCTCTCTGCCTCCTCTCGATTCCTATCTCTATCCACTTTGTCTCTCTTCTCCAGTTTAACTTTTATTCTTCCCCCCCCCTCTCTCTCTCTCTCTCTCTCTCTCCCTCCCCTGTATATGTCTTGCTCCTCTTTCTTCTTTATTCCTATACTTCTTCTCAACGTTCCTCTCTCTCTCTCTCTCTCTCTCTTGCTCTCGCTCTATCACTCTCTCTCACTCTATCCTCTACTCTCCTCCTTCAGTCTGGTCCCGTCTCTCGGATCTCGTTCTTCGTGTAACCGCAGTGTGATAACTACCGACACAGCGAACTATGAGCGTGTCGCGGCGCCATGGGCGGGACGAGTGCGCGCACTCGTTCCTCAATCAATATCCTTCTATGCCTCCCTTCTTACCGTCGGCTCGCCCGCATCGCGTTCCCCTTGCTAGATTGACCAGGAATCTGGAAATCGTACTGTGTGCTTCGTGCACGATCCTTATCCCGCGAGGGCGGAATCCCATGACCGACGATGTCAACTTCGATCGCAGCAACTGGAGGTCCCCCCGTGTGTTACTCAGTTCTGAATGGATGATTTGAATGGGTCAATGGAAAGTTCATTTGAAATTTGTCTATAGGAATTGATTTCCAGGTTCCCATTAGTCTTGCGATTATTTGCACAAGTTTGATTGAGTTTACCGTCCTTGGAAATTAAACTTGTCCTTTGATAGGATGCGTGTTTTAGGATCATTGTCTCTGGAACTTTGTAACTCATCGTGGAGAGACGTCTAGTTGATGTTCTGTGAGATTTTATAAAGAAATTCTGAAATATTGTTTGGTTCGTTAATGCGAGTTATGTACTTCTGATGCGTATAATGAGATGTTTCAGAAGCGTATATGTATAATATATGTATTTTACGAGCCGCTTGTTATGCTCTTAATTTTATTGCGCTTTGTGGAAGGAGGCTCATTAGTTAGTCTGTTTTTTTTTTTAGGTAGGAATTTCCTCAGCGTTGAATCTCAAATATTTTTATTTTATATTTCATAGCACATTCATGTTACTTGGAGCAGCGTTTCATTATGACCTGCAGCAGAATCGCTTGTTATCTTTCGAACGTCGAGGGTATTTGTTATTTTAAACATTCTTTTTTGCTTACAGGTTCTGGTGTCACCGGTATTGGCAGGATTGGCAGTGGGTATCGGAGTTCCGATATTGTTATTTTATGTGTACGGCGTGGTACCAGTCTCTCTGTGTCGTAGCGGAGGATGCGGCGTATCCACAAACGGATCTGGAGTACGTTTCGAATTTGACGACGAAAATGAGCTGATGGGTGCTTTGGGTGTACGAAACGCCGGAGGTAAGTCCGTCATGAGTCAATAGACTCGTGAAGTCCTTGAGTTTGTATTGTCACATCCGCTATGGGCTTCCTGTAGCTGTATAATTATAACTGAACTATTTTGGGAGGGTATTCAATGACGCTTCAACCTCATATTTCAGATGCAGCATCGATAGATGTTGCGAGTCATCGTGGCGGAAATCCATCGATAGGAGAAGCTTCCCTCTCGCTGGGAAGCGGCAGCCAGCTGGAAAAGTTGGGCAGGGAAAATGATCGCGAGAGTGCCAGTAACGTAGCTCTGGCAGGTACAAGCCTTGCGGGAAGCATAGCATCTAGTGTTCTTCCAGGTGGCCAAAGGTATGGAGTAAAATTTGAAATTTAGATTGTGGTAATAAAACACACTTTAAGGCAGCTGTTAATTATTTTAATTCATTGTTTGATATTTAGGTTGGAGGTGCAAGCTGATGTGACTTCCACGCAGAGATTCAGTTTGTGCAGTGAAACTGCTTCTGCAGCTACCAGCCTCTCTGAAAAGTCTGTTAATGCTTCAATTGCACTGGATGATGGCGCAGCATCGACTAGGGCATTGGCGGGTTCTGTTCTCAATTTTAAAGTAAGTATTTGTTATCAATAAATTGTTATGCTTGTTAAACTAGAGTTTTTTTTGTCATAATTCAGGTCGACAGTAGCTCCACAGGCGGTGGACGAAGTACGGAAGGTGAACAGACAATAGGTTCTACTGGAGGAGGTCACATGGACTCGGCAGGACAAGCAGCGTCTTTGAGTTCGCTGGAGGAGATTGCACCAGGTCTTGCTAAACGTACTCGACGTAGACCTACCCTTGACCGGCAACCTAGTGACTCCAGCAGTTGGACTGTCTGCGGCGAGGATGGTGGATCCGAGCGCGTTCGCTTCGATGACCACGTTAGTTTCATCGAGGCTGACCAGGAAGCTGGACTTGGGACATGCGCAGTCAATAATCGAGGACCTGGAAGACGTAAGCGAAATAAGGAGCTTGAGCAGGACGGCGAGGTTCCAAAATCGTCAAGGTATATTTTCATCGAACAAGACGTCGCGTACATCGGCACCATTAACAGCCACGCGTCTGCTTCAAGCTTATCCTAACGTTAATGTTAATATTTTGTTTAAGGTATTGGAACAACGTAATAATTTCTTTTAATTTATTATCTCCTAGGTGCTCCAATAGTGAACTAAATTATGCTGAGGCGAATGTTGTGCTGGATATTAATGATGAACCACGTGAAAGGGTTAACGTGGCTACTCTACGAAGTGTATTCTTTCACAATCCAGCTGCCTGTTCTGATCGTGAGACAAGGTTGCCAGTGATAGTAGAACCATCTGTATCGCAAGCACAAACTTCAACAGAACAAATTCGATTGCCTGTATGGGAGAAGTTTGCAGAAAATGTATCACGGGAGAATTCAGCACATGCGAGGTTACCGAAAAAGAATATGACTTCGTCACGAATTACTACAGAGTCTATTAGAATGACTCATATGAGGACGCCATCAATCGTAGAAGCGCCAATCATTAAGATGCCTCATGATTTGGAGTTCAAATCATCATCTATTGATAGTCCTGTCATTATGATGCCTCATGAATTGGAGCTCAAATCATCATCTATTGAAAGTCCTGTCATTATGATGCCTCATGAATTTGTATCCGAGATCAACCAAGTTGCAAGGCCCGTCCTGACGCCTGATGACTTTGTATCCGAGATCAAACCAGTTGCAAGGCCTGTCCTGATGCCTCATGAATTAGATTTCAAGTTATCAACAATCGAAAAGCCCATCATCAAACTGGCTCATCACCCAACCGCGGCACCGTTATAACCCACGAAACAGCCCATCGTTTGGAGTGCCTCATCATGCATATCCAGCCCCTTCTTGAGACAGGGCCGATACATCAGTAAAGCTACCATTAGTAGACCTACTATTTAACGTCATTACCCGTAGTAATCAGCGAGTTACGAACTGTTACTCTCATCAGAATTAAACATCACTGGTAAAACTGTCACCACTTACATCATCGTTTCCAGTTTGCACAGAGAAAAATACCCCTTCGCCCGACCTACAATACAGTCATTTCTTCACACGAAGTTAAATCATTGTCATTCAAGTTGTCGGAATGATATCTCCGAAATAGCTCAAAGTTTTCATCGAATCTATTTGGATGCCTGGACTAGAAGACCTAGATCGTCTATCCAGAACCATGATAAAATGTTATCGAATGATAGTAACCAAATTACTTGTATCAGCGTTAAAAGCTTCCGCAGTGCCAATACGCGTATCTGGCGTCTCAAAACCAGTTGAAAGTTTGCACTGCTAAAAAAAAAAAAGAACAAAGACTGAGCATGCATGCCACGTTATACATACTCATACGAAAAAAAAGTATAGACGCACAGTCAATTTTATATACGTCCGTATACTCTTTAACAAACTTCCTGCAGCGCCAAGAACTAATGCACGCGCATGCGCAAACCTCTATGCCCATGCACATGCATTCGATCCGCGAACGTCATTACGTGTACTTGCCCAAGCAGGCAACCAATCGGATATCTTTTTTCAAAGATGCATATAGGAACCGTGTATAAATTGGCTGTGCACAGAAATACATACCGATACCTGCGCATATGCATATGCACATTCGCGCGCGACATATGCATCAATGCACCGATCAGAATGAAAGTCTTGCATAAATGGATAAGCGTGCTATTATGATAGTATATTTATCTGGAATTAATATGGACGGTAAACATCGACATTCGTTATGACAATGACGACTGCTCTATGGCGATCAAACAAGCAAAAGGAACGATATTTGTACATTAGAATTGTGTACATAGCTCGCGAGTAAATTTTGCAAAACTCGATCTGCCCGTAGAATATATATATATATATATTCGCGCGTGTGTAATACGTTCACAACTGTACCCTCTCTACTGCCCCAGTCCAGTCCCCTCTGCCCCTCCATTAAGCTAGCTCATTTATTCTTTTGTCCACGTCCAAGTACGACCTAAATTTTAATCTGTCTGGGCAGAAGTTAAGTCGCAATGCCCAATGCTACTTCTTGCCTGTGTGCTTTTGGTTCGGCAGTGCATCTACCGTAAGTGCGATAATTATAAGAAGCAGAAATTACATATTCGACGATTACAAGCATATGTAATATATAGATATATATGTATTATATATATACACAGATATGATTGGTACGTCGGTAAAATTTGACCGGTTTTTTTTTTTTTTTTTTTTTTTGTAATAGCCCCCCTTCCCGGTCCCACCTGCCCCATGTTTGCCTATAAAGCACAGATTTCCTTAAGCCCTGATTACTCAGTGCAGCATTTATTAGTATCATTTTATTGATTATTTTGTTTAATTCTCTTGTAAAGCTCACGTGGCTTCCGGCTTTCATTGGTTCACGCAGTAATATCAGAGTAAACGGTGAATGAAACTTGTAATCGATGACAATCGATACTGCGAGATACGTTGATACATAGTGTAGAGTGTCGTGTTAATGATAATTTTATTTTTTACTACGAAAAGAGGTTTTGTATAGATATTGAATTTCCTTTAGAGATAATGGCGAATCGAATTATTGTTCAGCATATTTGTTCTTTGTTGATCGCATGATAGCGGATCGTGGATAAATGTGCAATTTTGTTTGTCAAATAAAAGTTTCAGTGTAACGATACACGCTTGCGATACCTAAGCCTGGATGCACGGGCCGAACCATTAAACTCTAAATGATAACGTGAGCCGCCGTGTTTCCCCCCCACCTCTTATACAGGATAGAAGAGAAAAAAGAAGAAAATGCGAAAAAAAGAAGAAGAAAAAAAACGAGGAAGATAATTGGAAACTTTTATGTAAATAATATATCTACACTTAAGTCAGGCGTTACACGCGAAGCCTGTTCATAGATATTGACATATAAATATATTAAACAATTACTGACGCATACCTATTGGAGTTTATTTATTTAATAATGTATCCAACGAGATCAAGTATAGAATAGGGATTATATTTTTGACGGCTGACGTATCAGTTTGTTTCTGATGATTTTCAATGATACTATTTCAAGAGTATAGAAATATTTAAATTGTCGAACAATTAATTGTTTATTAATGATCCTAGTAATTCCTTGTATATTTGTAGATTCAATGAGTTAAATATTTTCGTATTTTTTGAAGTTACAAAAATTCCTAGAGTCAGGTGGTTCGTGTTTTGAGCTTGCGGAATCGTTAGTGCAAGCTTGAGCCGTCAGACGGCCCTGGCTTACCTTCAAGGCGCGCAATCAATACACGCGCGAGTCCGTAGGGTAGCGACTAGCCCTGTACCGCGAGCGAGCTTTCAGTTCGACATTGGGCCGCGCTGAAAGCTCACCGGGGACACGGAGTGTCAAGGTGGTGAAAGTATCAGCGAGCAAGAGGTGGTGGCTTACGGAGAGAAGGACAAAGAGGCGGAGGAGAAAGAGGAGGAAGTGGCGGCGGCAAAATGGCGTCGACGAGGGGAAACAAATGACGGGGAGCTTTTGCAAAGCATTGCTGACACTTTCGAATTCCTTATGGAGGTTACCCATGTAATCGACGAGAGTTCCGAGGACTTGATTCTTGTTTACGAATAATCGTGACGTCACTTTTTTCATTTATACCTGCCAAGCGTGCTTGGGAAGGCATACATTTGTGTTGTTTTAGCCCTTTTTTGTTGTCCCTTTGTTTTTCAAAAAGTGTATACAAACACATTGCTCGCTCACGATTCATTTCTAGTTTTAATGTAACGTCCGTTCGGTGCGACACGTTTCAGTTGGTATTTTGATCGCGTGAGATGCAGACGACTCGCGTCGGGTTTTTTCTACGTTGTGTACTACGGGATAACGGACTGTTGCGTTGTCGAATTATCGTCGGGGTTATTTTTCTAGTAGTCGGTGTGCTGTAGATTTTGTAAGTTTTGTTTGATGGGCCCTCGGAAAGTGTGGACGCAAAAATGCATTTGCATTTCGAGAAGAATAACAACGCCAAGTGTGACTGCAATATCCTGTCTCTCAGTTGGATGGGAAAAGTACCGGACGAATTGCCCGAGGTAAGACGAACAATTATCATTGCATGCTTGTACATCGATAATGGATCTTTGACGTGTAGGAGAATTCATGTTACATTGAAGAGGTCCATATACGTACATATTACGTATTGCTGTGGAAGTATAAATTTTAGAGTCAGAAACAGGCTTATTTAAAATGAATATTTTATATGGACAAAAATACGGTGATTAGATTTTGCATTAATTAATTTTTTTTGAATGAATAATAAAAACCGTTATTAATCACAAGGCTCTGGACTTCTTGATAAAACGAGCAGTTGTGTCTAGAATCAATTTTCGATTGGAATTACAAAATGTCACTTGATCGTGTAATTAAAAATAATTTCCAATACTAATTTTCTACCTAATAAACGAGAAGTTATTAGATGTACTCTTCATGGGGAATTTATATTATCCTAAGATGGTACAGCCTGGCACAAGATCTTGTCAGTAATATAATTTGTGTCTTGACTGAATAATTGAATGCAGCGACTAGTCACTGGCAAGTTAGTTGAATCGATTACGCCTAGTTACAGTGATTTACGAGAAATGACAGGACGAAATTACAAGTGTTACAGAAAGCTAAGTTCGATAAAAATTATTTAACGTTTAAGGCGCTAAAATTTTTCAAGCAGAAAAATTACACGTGTCCATCAATTCATAAAGGTCCTTTAAATCAATTTGCCGTCTTCTATAAAGCCGTCAATCTGCCAATTTCAGGCTACGAAGATCAAATCCAATATTCGATTATTCATCCAGTATGTAGTAGCAGTCTAGTATACCCATAGGTAATACCTACATGGATACTCGCCTGCAATACACATATATCGTCGCCCAGTAGCCTCAACGGCTTCACGTACAGTTTCTCAACTACGTGAAACTTTGTTAGACATTTTCTATCGTCAGAATTTTATTACGCGTATCCCTCAGGCAGTGACTAAACTATCGTAAGAATTTTTGAGATTTTACTCTTTCGTTCTTTTTATTTTTTGTTGCCTCCCAAACGATCCGTCCCTATCATCTCCCAAGACCTCCGGATGATTAAATGTCGATCGAAACAGTTTTTTCTTGGGGATTTTTATATCGGAAACAGCTGATGGTCTTGAAGTATTTGATTAATCGGCATTTTTTCTATTTTCCAGCTTTGTCGATCCGTTAATGAATTTTTCTTAAAGATCTTTCAAAATGTTTTTCTTCCCCCACCACTCTTCTCCCGTAAAGTTTTCTTTAAAATTTTTAATCTCGTACAAAAAGCCTTTATTTGTACGTCCTGACAATTCGAATGAACGAAAACTCCTTTAATGGACCGAAAGAAGACTCTTAACTTGTTCTACTCCGGACAATTATCCACGAACAGAGAAATTACCTCGATGCTTTTCGCAAAACGGTTGGCAAAACCGGATGATTACGAGAAGACTTTTCCCTGCGTCATTTCCTTCTATTCGCTCGTAGCCCGACGTAACGTCTACCTGTCAGAAAAAAGAAAATGGAACCAAACACAGTCCGATTAAAATTTGCTAAAAAATTAAAAACCCATCAATCACAATACTCGTATTGCACCATAAATATAATATTGACGAAATATTTGGAAATTCGAGAGAAAAGAGAAAGAAAATTCGAAGGTTCAGACTATATAATGGCAGGGAATTGCGCGCAACATCAAAGCCCCGAATTTAGGAGATTGGCGTCTGGGTGGTGTATATAAGGGACGAAGGGGGACGGATCGTGAAAGTAGTGACGAGTATCAAGAGGAAACAGCATCCAGTGCAGGATTAGTTTGAGCAGTGAAGTTTAAAGGGTGGGTCTGTAGTACAGTGGCTCAAGATGAAGATCGTGCCTAGTGTCTCAAGTGGATCTTTTCATAATCCAACCTAACCTAACCCAACACGATGCCGTCTAGCACGTCGGCGACGCGACGGTCCTTTTCGTCACCCGGTAGACAATATTCAGTACTTGAAGATACCGGATCGTGAAAATAAACAAAGATAAGAATTAACCCCTCGTCGGTCCATACAGCCCCTGATATCTTAAAGGATACTGGTATACCTCTGACGTACTCAAAAAATCAACACAACGCCAAATTCAAAATATTTTGACATTTGATTGTATAAAAAAATTCATCCCCTCCTGCATATCTCTACGTATCTATAAATTGATCCTAGCAACCCCTACTCGTTAAGCATTAATAGCCGCAAGGTAACGGTATATATATTCACTCCGTAACCGCGAACACAATTCCATGGAAGTTTAACGAATAGACTATAGGCCATCGACGGTGTCCCGTCAGGGTCCGTTCGACGTAATTCGATTATCCCAGACTTACATTATTTCTTATCGATACTCGCGCGCCCCTTTTGCCAGGCATGAAGTTCATTATCGCAGGAGGGTAATACCACCCCCCCTTTCTCCCTTTCGCCGACCCACCCCTACTTTCGCAAAAATAGTCGATAAGTAATTCCCGACGGCGTTGTCTCGCGCGAGCGACGGGTTCGGTAGACCGCGAGGAAAACTTTAGAATCCGGGGTCATTCCACCCTCATCCCTTGTCGAGACGTTACAAAAAAAAAAAAAAAGGAAAGACCAAGAGGGTTGGAGCGGACGAAGTAAGGGTTGGCTGTGACAAGGACGGAGGGAGGGAGTGGAGGGATATGGAAGCACGTGTATTTGTCGCGTCGCTTCTTCATCGGCCAACCTTCCATGCGAGCTCTAAGGGTAGACGTATCCCTTCTGCTGCACTGGGTGCAGGGCGGTTTATACATATAGATCGTAGCTCTGTACATGGCTGTATTGCAGATAACGAAGCATATACGAAATATATATATATATATAATATTTTGAAATTGCCTAAACACGATACTCGCATCCGTCGGTGGTGCCTTCAGCTGGGCATACATTTTGGATGTCGCAAGGGAGGGACGCCCAGGGTAAATGTTAGTCCATTAGCAGGGTTGGCGAACGACGTAGCTACGGGGCCACCCCTGGCTTCCAGCCTCTGTCACAGTCAGTCGGCTTTGCTTCGGTAGTTACCGGGTGCGCCCGATAGTGCTGGCCATTCCGTACGGCAGCTATTCGGAATCTAAGTCCATAGTGGGTATGTGTCTTGGGAATAACACAGTGCTTATATATTATTCGCATTACATTCGCATGGTTATGTGGGATAGATTAGCATGTTATATACTTATACACGCAGCCAATGTTTCACTCGTATATTCATAGGTATTATTTGGTATATTCGCCTAGGCAATTTGATATCGCCTTGAATACAGAAATATATATGGGAAATGTTTGACGCGAATCGTAACGAAAAAATTTGAGTCTCTCGGTATTTTTTGTTTTATGGAAAATATATTTTTTTTTTTTTCTCCTACGGTGCATCTCGTTACGAATGCCCGAGGAATATAATAACACAGACGCTCGTTGGATGCTTGGCAAATGCAGTTTCCCAGAGGCTCCAGTGCCTTGCCGTGCGTCCGTCAATAGTGCACTTTTGTGCATTGTTGCATGATAGTGCATTTAACAAGTGGGGAGTATAGAATGTGGAATGAAACGTGCAGGAGCAGCGACCACGGAGGGATGGATCGAACGGGAATTGCCGAGTTAAGGGATGAATGTTTGAAAATTTTATTTTCACGTCTTTTTTCTTTGTCGTTTCTATGCGGTATCCGATAATAGGGGGTGGACAATGCGAAGGGAGCCTTAAGGGTGGTTACATGCCCAATGCCAAGACAATGAATTAATGTCTGTATTTGAGCCTTTGTAATTCTGCTTCATCCCCCTAGCCCCATCCCTAAACCTTACTGCCACTTTGCTAGCTTCCGTTCATTGTACGTCAAACCCAAGTGTCCTATACCACCCATCCACCCTTATACGATACTCTGTGTATCTTACAACCCTCACTGTTGAACCACCCCGGCGTTACAAGGGGGTTGTATAGGCATTCGAATTTAAGGAGAGTCTATCCGTTCGTTTGCCCCTTGGCAACTTTTACTATCCCCCCTCTCGAAATTCGAAGCTTTGCACGAAAATTCCAGACCGTCTGGTAATTAAACTCGTGCGTATCTTCGGGTCGGTTCGTTCGGGTCTATCGGATGGCGCAATTAGTTATCAGGGGTAAGAGTGTTAATTGCCTTTGGTGTACTTTGAAAAATTTATTTTTCCAATGGGAGTGCGCAATTATTTTTGACGGAAATATATATATTAAGAAAGAGCTGGAGTGAAGGTAACTCACGGGAACAATGAAATTCCAAAGTTTTAGATACCACAGCAAAACTTTCTATTACCATTTCGGTGTCAGTAATCTGTATATACTGGGATGGATTATCTGGTCCGTCCAAGATCTCATTATTCAATGTGACAAATTTGGGTAATTTAGCTAGACGGTTTCCTTAGTCAGTCTGGTTCCATATTGGGCTTTAGGCTCGAGCGGAATAAATCATTATTATTGAATAGCAAAGTATATATAATTCATTAACGAATTACCACTGCTGAAATGCCTTAGACCGTTTTAGTAGGTACTCCCATAGGAAAATTTCTATAATTGCCAGTCCTTTTTTTGCCAAAGGCAATCAGTGGCGTTCCATTGATTTCCATTAATTTCCCATACATTACTTTTGACGTGAAAAAGTATTAGCCAATGAAAAACTTAACCACGGGCTATGCTGCCTGCAGTGACTATTGGCTACCAGTTAGTGCCGGTAGCAGGTACCATTATCAGTAGCATTAATAACGGCAGTTTAACTGGAAGCATCTCATTAATTTTAAAACGTACCGTGGACCACTCAGAAATAATTAGTAAAAATTCACCGGCACTCGAGGCCGTTTCTGTAATTAGGTAAACCCAGCCGTTTCACGGGTTAAAGAAAAAAATTTGAAAAATACCTTTGACCGACGTACTTAAAAATTTTCCATTTTTTTTCAAATGACTCCCCCCCCCCTACTCTCTTTGCATTTCGATACTACTTTTATTAACCCACGCTGCCATCTTTATTTCGCTTCTCATTTCCG